CACACACACACACACACACACACACACACACACACACACACACACATGCACACACACACACACACTTGCTGTCGCAACTTATTTGTCAATCATACATCAATCTTTACCACCGTAAAATTCTTTGATCTAAACGACACCACAAAATAAAGCAATTCACCCATCCGCCTACACAACGCAATGTAAACGCCTCCGCCTTTGTTGATCTAATACTGGTGCCCATTGCGGGTAGGATCTGGTCGGGCCTGGGTTAGTGAACCCAGCGCTGCCGTTACACTAGCATCTGCATTAATTTTGTCGCGATTTTTGGCAAATTTTGGTCCGCGAATCGCGGCCTCGATTTTTGCCCTTTTCCCCAAAAATATTTTTAAAAAGAAAGAAAAAAACAAAACAAAACACCGCTCGGAAATAACAAATCGAAAAACAAATCCCAGGGAATAAAAATCGAGAAATAAAACATGAAAACATACAAAAAACCCAAAAATAAAGAAACCGAACCAAATTAACTTTACTTTTAGAAAGAAAAACTAGAAAGTTCACTTTCACATCCGCTTCACTTCGTCTCTGTCTCACTTGTTGAACACAAGAAATTCTGGTGCTTTATATTAAGTTACCTCTATCAACATGATATGTAATACGTCGTCACAGAGAATTGAAAGCTTGAAAATTAATGGCAACTTTTTGGGCAACTTTTGCCATTTTTGTGGCAACATTTGGCAAGTTTTAGTTTTAGACAAAAAAATGGCAACAAACGCAGATGCTAGGTTACAGTAAGTAAATTGTAAACCGCCTCGATCGACGTAGATTGTGGTCAATCGGGCGGGACATACAGTTGGCCGCTAATTCATGGTATTCCACCTAGTAAACCGGCACTGCATTTATTTTACAATCAACAATTGTTTCTGTATCACCCCGGTTTTCTCTATGTCAGATTGGAATATATTTAAAAGTAGGTCAGGTAAATGAATCACTATGTTATCTCTGCAGGTCAGCCTACCACCTTCAGAAGTTAAAACGATAAGTCGTAAAATAAGGAAAGATCTAATACATGTACCAGGTCACACTGCTATTTGAATTCATTTGATAAAGTTAGGGTCAACCTGGGTTTCCTCCATGAAGGGGCAAAAACAACCATCTTGGCTCAACCCAACCGAATTCGACTAGTCTAAATTCGTTTGCGACCCACAAAATCAAACGTATATTCAACGGAATTCGATCGGCAGTGCGCACTGGATATTAGCACTTTTCTTCCCTTTTCACACCTGATGCCTGCTAGAGAATTTCCACAGCTGAACTATTATGTATAGTATGAACAAAGACAGTACATAACAAGGTAGTTCACTCCTCTCTTTGAGCCAATTAAAAAGCGTCCTCTAAATCCGGTAGCGCCCTCTTCGAAAAAGCGCACCCTTTGCGAACAGAGTTACCGTACTCTACTTGTGTGAAAACAAAATCAAAGTGAAACTAACAAATTTTAAAATAAATTAGAATTCAAATTTCGGAAGAATGCTTTTTAAAATGGTTACGCTGACAAAAAAAAACATCTTCCAGTGGAAGAGGCGATTGTTTTCTTCGTTTAATTTGACTTTATAGAATGAGAGGCGAGAGGTCAATAAAATAATAATAAAAAAACCCCCTAAAACTAAAAGTCCGCACTGAACGAACCCGAACAGCTGACAGCAGTCAATCTGCGCACGCAAGGGGGTACTTTTCCTATTCTTCTTCTGGAGAAACGAAAGAGAGTTTCAAAACAAAGA